TTATCCATAGCGATGGCCATCAACATTCCCACAGATACCCCATCCACTGATTCGAAAAATATCTACAGGGTAATTATTATCCTCCACAAAAAAATTAAATTACTAAATCTAGGCCTGAAAATAAAATAATATGTTGATTTCCATTCAGCTGAAGCATTTAAAATGTAAGTCTTACTTTTATTCGTGAAATTTTTGGGTTGCTAAGTAATAATTTCCAAATGAATAAATTTTGTGCCAAATTTTCGTTTTTTCAAAAAATTTATTGTTTTTTTTTCAAACTGTACTGAAAGTATGAGGAAAATTTGGAATATTTTATTTTTGATGTTTGTTTGTGACCTAATTCCCTGTCACAGTTTACAAAAACGATATACTTGAACTTTTTGTTATAAACTAAACTATCAAAATTTTTCAAAAACGGTCCTGGATATTCCCGATTCTTAATAAGTCAGTCGATTAGAGAGTATTTGCAAAATATTCCATGGTAAAAATCAGAAGAATCGAAGAAGCTGTTGGAATGTTATGACCAAAAGATATTTTTGCCAAATCTCGTGGTAGGAGTATGTATAGTTCCTCATGACTCACCCTGTATATTCTTAAGAACCCAAAGTATTGGAATTACTTGCTCGCAGGATAGTAAATCCATCATTTCAGAAGGTATGCACAATATTCGAATTCAAATTCGGTGTGACAGATTAACTTGAAAGAAGTGATGCAAATATTACCTTCTAAGAAAACAAATTCATAAGTGGTGAATTGTTGAGATCTTATTATTCGTTGACTAAGACATATTTGCGTTTGTTGTTTTCTGATAATTCCAAATGATTTACGTTATTTTCTACATGTAAATTCTCTGAAAAATATTCAGTATCTTGATGATAACTGAGACAATATTGTATAGATCTTTTTGAAATTTGGTACACGTATTTTTTACATCAAGGTGCATTTTCTGATGTACAAAAATTTTCATTTTCTCTACCAATGGCACCGTTACGAGAAAATTATTGTTTATATTTCACCTAAAAGTGAGCAACGATGGAAAATTTTCAAATTTCATACAATGCTATGAAAGGCTATTTAATTATGTACAAAAAAGATCCTCTTGTTGATACTCGATAGAACGCTTCGTTTTCGAGAAAAAACGGAAAAACGAGACCAGACTTCAAATTTTGATGATCGAGTACTCCATTCAGAACATCCATTACTGGATAACCACAGTATGTAGCAATTTGAAATTTGTATACCGATTCAGTCACATAGCAGGCTGAATTTTGCCATCACGAAAAGGTATATAGGGTGAACAAAAAATAATCTATGCATATTTTCAACATTGACACCCTGTATCACAAAAGTTGGGACGTTTACGACATATGAAGTTTTATTCTTGAAATGGGTCGAAGAATCGGCCCCTTGAATTTTAGCATATCATTAAGGAACACCCTGTATATGATGTTCGTGAATGCGGTGATTAAACGTTTCACCTGTTTGACCAATAAGATTCGATTTTTCTCTATAAATCCCATATCGCTTGCGTTATGATTTTTGTGGTTCGAAACTATGGGAAATCAGGCGTATTTGATTGATTGATTGATCAATTATTAACACGGGAGATATTGCAAAGCTGTGGAAACCTTTATTATGTTTGATGTATATTATAGTTTGTTATGAAATCCTTGAGAAGAATTTTTCTTATTTCAACTGTGGAACGATATCATGTTGGTCAAGAGTGGATACACAGTCACTATAATTTTTATTCTCACAAAATCATACATGTCTTCATCTTCTGAATTTGGGCAATTATGTTATTCAAGGAGAGAAGTAAAAATGAATGGAAACAACTTCAAATCTGTCATCTGCAATCAACAAAAGGCCATTGCGAAAGCTGTTTTACAAAAACTCTGGTTCTTATTTCGCACGGAAACTTACGCCTAAACAGCTTCTTATGATTACAAAGCACATAATATGAAAGTTCCGCTCCCAAAAATTCGCTGATACTCTTAGATTTTATTCAGAGACAAGCTATTTGCTTGGTCGGTTGATGATACCACTGTTACAAGTTTCAAATATGTAGTTCCAAAAGTTGAAAAAATCCAAAAACTTCCCTTCGCTTCTTATCCAGGCATGCACGATATGTTACGAACATACAAGGGATTCTCTTACGTGCGATCCGAAAGATACAAAACAATTTCGAAAAATTCATAAGATTTGGATGACAATGAATTTCTTTCCATTTCCCATAAGTGTACTATACAGGGTGATGAATGAGTGCGAAAAAGTCGAGGAAGTGATTTCTTGTCATATTTTATGAAAAAGTTCGGATAAACATGTGTCCTAACTACGTTTTCGAGATACAGGGTGTTGAAGTTTGGAGTTTTAATTCATTTTTCATGATTCCCGGTATGAGATTTAGTCTGTTTGTTGACGACAATGTCACAAAATTTCAGAATGATACCTATTGAGGTTATTGAGTAATCTCAATGGGTTTCTTGAAAGTATTTACATTGAAATTTGTAGTCAAATTGTTTCTTCTAGTTTCCCCAAAAACACAGTGTACGAGGAAGTTTTATTATCAATTGTTCAATCCAATGAAAACATGGAACTTGGAAAACCAGTGACGTACAATCATATTCACCATGAATATTGATAATGTAACCGAATGTGACGCCTCTGGCATTATTGATTCGAATCTAATTATATTAAAGGAAGCTCCATTTACTGTTAACAAATTCATCAAGTTCCATTTGAACTGACAAAAAAATGTCTGACTAATGAAAGAACGATTAAATACTGTCTACGTTAATCGAGGAGGTGGTACATTCATTATTCCAGATTTTTTGGGATTTTTCTCCTCGTTTCTTTGAAATAAAATTATGAATATGATTTCAATGAACGTGTAGTAAGGACAAATCAGATGATTTGCCCCAAATTGTCACTGTGTTTAAAGAATTTTCCTATCAGAGAGCCTGAATGAAAAATTCACTAGCTTGTCAGTGACAATTTGTAGTGAAAAAGGTTTAGAGAAGAGAAATAAAGGTATATAGAAAAAATATCAAATTTTATCTTAGCTTTGGACTATCGGGAACGAATCTGTTTTCGTTTTCAACATAAAAAATAGATATTTGTATAGCAAATTCGTATTCGTCTTGACACTTCTTAGTTCTCAGTGACAATGGGCTTATATCACAAAAAAAATTTATTTCATAATTCGATAGAGCTCACCCAAACTAGCTCACCACTGCAAACCGTTTCTTGCTGTGAGCTCCCTACGTTTTATAAAAAATTATTGAAATCCCCGATTTTTCGGACCTCTGAAAACGAGGCGATGATGTGACGTCAAAACCCTAATACTGAAACAAGACTATTCCAGACAGAGATGAATGATACATGATTTCTGACAGAGTGAATTAGCGCGAGATCACAGTTGAAAGAATTAATATATCAGTTGCCTCAGTCTCCGTCGGGCGTTTGGTATTTTCTTTTAACTATGATGAGATGAGGTTTCTACGTCATAAGAGGGTCCGTTTTCAGAAGATACTATTATTTATGTCCAAAAATAAAACATTCCAGTTAATTTTTCGATCGAATTATGTCGTCAATCATTATTTATGTATGAAAGGATCATTATAAACATGGTTTGAGTTAAAAGTTTTACTAAGGTGTACACGCCCATTGGTGATGTTGGCAATCAAATGAGTTAGAGGATGTTTTCGTTAATTAATCTTGAATTTACCATTTTCATATTTCAGTAGTGAATACCATGTTCTATCTTTATCAATTGAATAGGAAGCTATGATATTGTCTCCGTTCAGAAGAATACAAGCAGATTCCTTGAAAACTGTGTTTAAAACTTGAAATACAATTAGATCAATTCTAACTCAAACAAAACCGAAAAATGAAGAACAATCGTCAAAAAATTGTATTCACAGTATACTTCGTGTTTGTGCAAAATTTTATATAGGTGAAACCAAGAGACCTCTTTCAGTAAGGACGAAGGAACATTAGTACAATGTAAAGAGAAGACACATCGACAAATCGAAACTAGGTAAACATATCCTTACTGAAGATGGACAACATATGGCAGAGTGGAATAATATTAAAATCATTGGAAAAGAAGATAATAACCAGAAGAGAAAAATCAAGGAATCTGCTTGCATTCTTCTGAACAGAGACAATAGCATTGTTTCCTGTTCAGTTGATATAGATAGAACATGGTATTCACTACTGAAATCTGAAAATGAAAATGGTAAATTCTAGATTAATTTATTGAAAACATCCATTAACTCATTTGATTGCTTACGTCACCAATTGTCACTGAGAACTGAGAAGTCAAGTCAAGACAAATACGAATCTGCTATACAAATATCCATTTTTTATGTTGAAAACGAGAGGGGATTCTTTCCCGAAACATCCAAGCTGAGTGAAAATTTGATATTTTTGCTATATACCTTCATTTCTCTTCTCGATACCTTTTTCGATAACAATTGTCACTGATAAGCTAGTGAATTTTTCTTTTAGGCTATCTGATAGAAAAATTATTTAAACGCAGTGGTATTTTAGGGCAAATCATCTGATTTGTCCTTACTATGCGTATAGGTATTGAAATAATATTCATATTTTTATTTTATAGACACGAAGAGAGAGAGAATCCCAAAAAATCTGGAATAATGAAAAATTTATCTTTTATTAAAATAATAATACCCTGTTTCTAGAAAACGAATCAATTAAGGACAAATTTTTATATGACAAGGAATCACCTGAATCTTTTTGCACTTCTTCATTCATACCCTGTATATGTGTTACCTAAGTTACCTTACCAATTGAAATGCTGACGATGTGGCTTTCGGAATATTTGGAAATTGACAACTTTTTATTTTTATGATCCATAAACGAGAAAAATTAGGGGATTTGTTTTCTTTTTCTATTCTTGACACAACGCTCAGTGCATAGATCAATAATAACCTACCGATTATTTTGATTTTGAAACATATGTATATTATTTTTAGTGATCTTGAGGAATCCCAGCCAGAATTTTCAGAGGTATTTCCAGATATTGAGCTAGATGCAGGAAGAGGTGGGAACTTATTTAACTCTCCAACTTCACCTACGAATATTCCTCATTATCCAAGACCACCCTCAACAGGTACATTAAGTAAATTTCGTAAGTCGGTGAGAATGAATGTGTTATATTTTGATTAGTGCAAAATCACTACAAATTTTGAGCCCTTCTCAAATTTCATTATCGGTAGGTAGCCCCAATCAATTTGTATCTTTCATCATTGTTGAAAAAAGACCCCATCATTGGTTTTGAAGAAACACCCCGTATATCTTCAACTATAGTGAACAACCTTTCTCGCTGTTTCCAAATACAATGTAATTTTCTTATGTTTTATTGAAATGGAATCCTATTGTGGAGAGGTGACTTTGTGACCTCACAGTTTGATGGTTGAGAAATATTTTTCTTCCAAATTTTAAATTCCAAGGTGGAGGGCGAGTAATCCATTCCAATAAATCCTATTCACTTGATAATTTATATTGATGGCGGGCAAGTTATTAATGTCTCATCTGATTTGTTCAATGATAACTATCTGGAGGTTTCTGAGGTCGAGAAATATTCATATTTTTAATTCCACAATCTAAGAATGGGGAATAGGTTTCCAGTGACATTTTCAGAATACAAGATGGCGCATCCTAAATAGCCTATAAGTTAATTATTCTTTATATCATTCCCCTGAAAAAAAAAATATCTTCGGGTTTTGGAAATCAAGGAAACATTTAAAACAGGCAATTATACAGTAAGGATGTAAAAAGTCCTCCCCCCTTTAACTTTTGAACTGAAAAAGCTAGCGAGCTCGGGTAAAGTTCAGGTAAAAAAGAACCTCGTTTACTACTATTTGGCATGAAAATGGTTGTGGTGACGTGACCTAGTGTAAAGTGGACACCTTCACCTTTTTTTTAAGTTAAGAGGGGTCACGTGATACCTTGTTTATAATGCCTTTCGATTCTCTATCCAACACCGCTTCGTTTGTGCAAATCGGCCGTTTCAAAATGACCAGCGCAAATATTCAATTTCTTCGGCTTGTAGCCATCTGATTTTCTCTTAAGTAATGCTCGTCTATTAAACAGAGCTGCCATTGCTTGCAATTTGACATTTCATGGGAGATGAGATTTTGTGAAATGATAACACAATGAAGTCATTTGCATCAGATACGAAAATGAAATTGATGACATACAAAGTACTTCATTGATATATTGAACACAGTAAAACAAGAGCAATTTTGTTATAATGCCCTAGAAAAAATATTTTTACCACCCAACCACTGCTCATGGTTCAGGATCGAAATTCAATTTGAAATGTTTAATAAGGACAATATCTATATGAGTCATCCTGTACATAGATCATATCGAACGAAAAAAACATTTTTAAGTAGCCCATTTTTGAGGAAGTCTAACTCTGTGCAAGAAACGATTTTCGATCCCATGTCGATGTGAACTTTTTTTACTTTTGTTCGGGCAGTTCACGAGAGATTCAGGTGGTGTTTACATACACCCTATTATTTGGGAACAGGAGAGGAAGGACTTTCACCTATAGGGTTGAACATATACAAATTTTTGTTCGTTTGTGTATGTAATGAGCCACCCATACCTTTCCAACTGGTCCTTGACTTCTATCTATATGATGTGTTTTCTGCAGGGTGCATGCTTCGTTACTAACTCTATCCGAACCTAACCCTATGGAGCAATGACATTGTTTATTCAATAAATCGAACGAAAAATCTCTACACAAATATCAATGGCCTGAGTGGAGCTCGAACCCATACAACGGTGATAGTTCCCTTACGAACTCAACCCCGTTGTGTTCTCGACTACTGGGTCACCTGATATTGTACAGGCAGGCCACACACTCACGAAGCGAACGTCTCGTAGTGGGCTGTAATCTGCGCGTTATGGGTCTTGATTACATGTTTGACTGACTTGTCTATTCTTTCACATTGTTATTACATTGTTCCCTTTGAAAGTAGCTGAAAAGTTCCTCATTATGTGCAACTCTTATTTTACTTGTACTTATTACAGGAAGCCCCACAGTTCTTAATGATTCTGAATTTTCTTATGGCTTGCCTCCCCAGCTATGTTCTCTGCTAGCTAGTTTTCTCTCAAACAGGTTGTACAGAGTGGAAAGTCTAACTGGAACAAATTCTGTAACTTGTTAAATAAAGGTTTATCTCAAAATGCCTGAAACATGTCGATTTTTATTTTCAAAGGGGCATATTACAAAGAGATTTGTTTATCTTTTTAATTATCTGGAGGGTTGTAGCCACCCCCAACTTTTTTTTTTCAAATGGAAGGGTAGGTTGATTAATTTTTTAATGGCAAGCTTGTTCAATTGCAAATACACTTCAATTGTTTTCTGTTACTTTTTATAAGCAATGTGTCGGAAATAAATTAAATAAGGAAATAGTTACTGAAATTATACGATCCGCGTACGCACCTGACTACGACGTAGACAGTATAAGATTTTTTGTATAGTGTATAGGTACACTGTTTTTTACCTGATAGGCCCAATGAAACACCTGCTCGATTTGAAATGAATGTGATTGATTTGTTAGTACTTGTTTGCAATCCCACGTGTGAATTAAAACCGAAAAATAAGACAATGCCCTATTTAACCGAGACGCATCGTATCGAAATTTTAACGATGATCGGATATGGGGACAGAAGTCGAACACAGGCTGAAGTTGCTCGTTTGTTTACTGAAGTTCATCCAGAATTACCATCAATTAATCGAAGTACGATCAGTAAAATTGAAACTCGATATCGGGAGTTGGGCCACGTAAGGGATGCTCCTCGACAAAAGGTTTTAAAAGTCGACGAAGAAGCCCAGTTGAACATATTGTTGGAAGTTGAAGAAAATCCTGTTACTCCAGCTAGGCATATAGCTCGCGTTCATGGTGTCAGTCACACAAGTGTTTTGAAAATTCTGAAAGCAGCCAAAAAGCACCCATATAAAATGCAAAACCTGCACGAGCTTAACGAAGATGATCCTGATCGTAGAATCGAATTTTGCGAACGAATGATGGCTTCTATCGATGGTGGACGAATTGCTTTGGAATGGGTGCTGTTTTCCGATGAGTCTACGTTCACATTACATGGGCATGTCAATCGACAGAACTGCCGTTATTGGGCTGACGAAAATCCCCGTTGGATGCGTGAATGCCATACTCAAAGGCCTCAAAAAACAAACGTCTGGGCAGGAATTATTGGGGATCGCATAGTAGGTCCTTTTTTTTTCAATGGAAACGTAACCGGAGAAACATACCTTGATATGCTCCAACAAGAACTGATTCCTACGTTAGTAAATTTATTCCCCAATAATTTGGATCCCAACTTATTTGACCGACGGATGTGGTTTCAACAAGATGGGGCACCACCACATTTTGCTCAAAATGTACGGACCTACATTAACGAAGTGTTTCCAAATAGGTGGATTGGAAGAAGGGGCCCAATTGAGTGGCCAGCAAGATCACCCGATCTTACCCCATTAGATTTTTTTTTATGGGGATATCTGAAGAGCAAGGTTTATGACACTAAACCTAACGACATCGCCGAGCTTCAACAACGAATCACGGACGAAATTAGGCAAGTAACGCCGGAAGTGTTACAAAATGTTCGGAATGCTTTTTATTATCGATTGGGATTTTGTCAGCAACAAGGTGGAGAGCAGTTTGAACATTTATTGCATTAAAATAATTTCAGTAACTATGTCCTTATTTAATTTTTTTACGACATATTGCTTATAAAAAGTAACAAAAAAAAATGGGAGTGTATTCGCAATTGAACAAGCTTTCCAATAAAAAATTAATCAATCTACCCTTCCATTTGAAAAAAAAAAGTTGGGGGTGGCTGCAACCCCCCAGATAATTAAAAAGATAAACAAATCTCTTTGTAATATGCCCCATTGAAAATAAAAATTGACATGTTTCAGGAATTTTGCGATAAACCTTTATTTATCAAGTTACAGAATTTGTTCCAGTTAGACTTTCCACTCTGTATATCAACGATTTGTTGGAAGCAACTTAATGTCCAGTACACAGCTTCGCGGATGATAGTACCCTTCATACCGCCTTCTCTTTCAGGGCTCCAATACCAGCCAGGCAAATCAGAAACGAACGAGGGAGAAATGTTGACAACATAAATATGTACTTGGCAACAATTCTCGAATGGGGATCCAATAACTTGGTACATTTCAATGCAAACAGAACACAAGCATGTCTTTACTCTAGAAAAGCCGATCTCACTGTGCCCAACATAAGCATGTCAGGAGTAACCATACCTTTGCAGACATCCATTTCGATGCTTGGTATTATTATCAGCAATAACCTTTCTTGTGAAAATCACGTGAGATCAATTGCCAAAAGTGCATCAAAAAACTTGGTTTTTTGTTTCGGGCCAGGAGCTATTTCACTTACAGTCAGCTGCTTATGATCTATAAGGCACAGATCCGACCTGCACTGGAATACTGCTCCCATATTTGGAGTGCAGCACCAAAACATACCCTAGAACTGTTGAATTCTGTCCAAGAAAGGGCAATTCGTCTCGTGGGTGATGCCTAGCTCACAAACTCACTCATTTCTCTCTAACACCGTAGAAGAGTTGGCGATCTGGCTCAATTTTACAGATATTTTCATGGACGATGCTCTTCTGAAATATCAACAATTATTCCTCCCTTGGCAGTCCCGCGAGATAGAACCGTCGAGTTGAGGCTTCGCACCCCTTCGTGGTCACTTTGGAGACCTGCAGAACATCTCTTTCCAAAGACTCGCTCATCCAACGAACATCGAGGCTCTGGAACACATTGCCAAGAAAGGTGTTCTCGAGGCATATAACTTCCAAAAATTCAAGAAGAACACCAATTCCTACCTTATTTCCCTTGGTTCTCACGATGTTCTCTGAACATTACAGGATATCCCTTTTCGTGGGAACCAGAACATAAAAAAAATACATTATAGTTTAGAATTTGGGTATTATGAATACACATGCACTGCTTAGAGTTTCCTCAGATATGGCAAAATATTGCAGATAGTATCCACTATTCTTGTACATAAGTAATGATGTGAAATGCATGTATTTGAATCTGAAATTGAAGTTTCATCTCACAGCCGTTGTATGCAAAATGTGAATGAAATGTTTTTTGATTAGGTACAAAATGCATCAAGTTTTTCCGGAATAAAATACTGAGAAGTAATATAGCAATTCACAACTAAACGAACTAAATAATATACTGATTGAACAAACGTCATTCGGTGTTGTATTCAAAAGTTCTAGTTTAATAATTTGCATAACAACCAGAAGAATGTTGTTTCAGAAAATATGAATTTCCAATCAATGGTAATGACTTGGAATGATAACGTTTGATCAAAGTTCAGTGATTAAATCTTTCAATTGCATGAATTTCCAAATCATATATTATGAACGACATTCTGTTCATCATATTATCATGACAAGGCAACATCATGCAACTTATGAAAATATGCTTCGAAAAATAAACCATTTATTCTATGAACATTGAACTAATGAAATCAACTTTTCTCGTCCTCTAGGTTCCCAGAAATCACCACGATCTAGACGACAAAGAACCACATCCCTGAATCAGGTCACTCCAGCTGCTGAATCTATCATCAGAACTCCACAGCGAGCCATTTACACGGCAGGCAGACCTCCATGGTATAACAGCGTTGGACAAAAAGTAGAACCTTTTGTCATAGGTAAATAATTCATGATCAGCAAATGAGAAAACTCGTTCAGTTTTTCTTAACTGACAGGACTCTGTGTGCATGTCTTACATTTAACCCGTCCTCTGCCTCTTTCAAACTTAAAATTCTATTGAATGAAGGAAACTTCAACTTTTTTAAAAATATTGCTGTGACACGTTACAAAATGCAATTTTGTGTAATTCTCAGATGTGGAACTCGCAATGTCCGTTCTGGAAAATCTCATAAAAAATATATTTCTTTATTATTATTCATATGCTGATTTAAAGGATTCTTCTGCGTGATCAAATCAAACTTTTGAAAACAAGCGTTTTTAAAGGTACCACGGCAACATTAAAGACCCAAGAAACGTGAAGTCTAAATGTCAACGTTTTAATTATAGATCTAACAGGAGTATCATGTAACGTCAAATAAAACGTCACTACCAAATGTTTCCAATGAATTATTTTTTCGTCATTTCCATAACAACGTGAAATGTAAAGAATGTCACTTTGGTTCAATATTCAATTCAAGTAATTAGATAAATATTTATATGTGAGTGTTGCTCAGCTGTGTGCACATGTATATACAAATAATTGTACAAATCTTGTATTTCCTGCAAAATAGTTTATTTAAAATATCGTAGCAGAACGCTTTCGGATGTAATGACATTATCAGTACATAGCTGTAAGTAAGTAGTCAGCTGTTAACTTTTGACGGAAAATAGCCGTTGAAAAATTCAAAATTTGAAATCAGTAAGAGTGAGGTTATTTACTCGTCAGGTTGACAAAATATTTTTATGGAGAATTTCTCAACACCTAACCTAACTTGACGAGTAAGTAACCTCACTATTACTTATTTCAAATTTTAAATTTATTAACGGCCATTTCCGTTCAGAAGCTAAAAGCTGATTACTTACTAACAGGTATGCACTGATGATGACTATATTACCCTATTTTGAATAAACTATTTTCTATGAAAGACGAGATTTGTACAACTATTCACATAATTATAAAACAAGCAATAATGTTGAATGAAACTATATATTGTTCAATTGTATATCAGATTCCTAAATTGTAATTCAGAAAGTGTAACTGTTAATTCAGAATAGTTGATTGTAATTTAAAAAGCGTCATTTGTTAATCAGAAACCATCACTTATTTTTCAGAAACTATCAAGGACGCTAGTAAGAGTAGGTAATGATGAGAACGACGAATCGTTTTGTATATGTGGTAAATGTTATGTACTTGCTTGATAAGTTCAATAAATAGACCGTCTAATTTGAGACGCATTTAATTAATAAATTGTATTGTCGTACATCGATAGAGAGATGCCTTCGCTAGGTAGTTTTTATGTGGGTACAAAAAGTTGTATAGATAGAAAAACAATAATATCTAGAAATACGAACACGGTATACAGAGTGATACTCTGCTCTCTTCACAATCTTATTAGTTTATAATTACAAGGTGTTTCTATATTACCCAACACGTCCCCCCTAAAAAAAAAAAATATTACATAATATATCCCTATCCCAATATTGTTGAAATAAATGTTATTGTTAACCAAAACCTATATACTCAATACAACAACAACAAATAGTGCACTTTAGAGCACCTCTAACCTCCTCCATATATATATATATTTATTGGTATAAGTACATTTAGAAATATATAATATATAAACCTATAATTTTATAATTTCATTTATTTCACTTATTAATAAAAGTAGTGGATTAACTATAGTTCAATCTATCAACTGGTTTTATTTGTCTTTTTGGTCTACCTTCATCCATCTTTGTATTCGATGTAGGAATTTCATTTACCTGTATAAAGGTTGTTGCAAAAGGTATTGAGCCACTATTAACTGCTATTTTTTTTTTATTTTTGATCAGCTGGTCCACATGCCTTCTCCAAGAACAACCTAAAGTTGGAATTTCTACTAGATACAAATTTTTACTTAACACTTCTCTTATGATGCCCTCACACCAGAATGTTTTATTTAATTTGTAACCTTTTGCCAAAACATTTTCCCCAATTTCAAACTTTTCCGATCTAGTTCCATTGAAATATTGCTTTTGTTTATTTTGATTTTCCAATACTTGCTGTTTTAGAGTTTGGTTTGGAGAAATCAAACTGAATCGATTATTAACTTTATGTCTGAACATCAATTCACTTGGGGTAACACCAGTGGCGGAATGAATGGAATTTCTGTAGTCAAATAGAAAATTACATAGTAAAAATTCAATATCCCCTTTTTTATTGTTTTCTAGGTTCTTTTTTAATGCTTGCTTGACTATTTTAACATTTGCTTCTGCTGCCCCATTTGATCTTGGGTGATAAGGTGGTGCAAATAAATGTTCAATTCTGTTTAGTTCTAGAAAATCTGTCATTTCTTTCGAATCAAAATTTGGGGCATTATCCGAAACTAACGTCTGAGGTAAACCAAACCTAGAGAAGGTTTCTCTTAATTTTGTAATGTTACCTTTGTGCTAATTGTACTCATAATGAAAACTTCCAACCATTTCGAATGTGCATCACATATTATTAAAAAATATTTATCTAAAAATGGGCCAGCATAATCTATATGAATTCGTTCCCAGGTATTTTCTGGCCATGGCCATGATGTAAGTTCACTATCTTTTGGGTTCGGGCTATTTAGTTTACACGCATCACAATTATTTACAAAATCCTCTATATCTCTATCTATTTTAGGCCACCAAAAATATGTTCTAGCAATTCCTTTCATTTTTACCATTCCTAAATGAGTAGAATGCAATTGAAATAGAACTCTTTTTCTCAATTTCTCTGGAATTATCACTCTATTATTCCAAATCAAACAACCGCTTTCCACACTTAATTCAAACCGTTTTACAAGAAATGGTTTGTATTTAACTATTTTATAAACCATTGATGGCCAATGTCCTGCTCTCACATATTCTACAATATTTTTGAGAAAATTATCCATTTTCATGTGTTCCTGGATGTCTTCAAATTTTAAATTGAATTCTTCCACTCTGATAAAAAAGTTTGTGAACTCATTTTCAAAATTTACTTTAAAATCATCGAAATTTTCTGGAAGGGGCATTCTCGACAAGAAATCAGCTTTATTTTGTTCTGAATTAATATATTCAATTTCATAACTATAATTTGATAGTATGATTGCCCATCTTCTCAATCGATTTGCAGAAAATGCTGGAATTCCCTTTTTTGGATTGAAAATAGCTACTAAAGGTTTATGATCAGTTACTAATATAAAATGGCGTCCATATAAATATTGATTGAACTTATTTAATCCGTAGATAATAGCTAATGCTTCCCTTTCTATTTGAGACCATTAGTTTTCTGAATCTGATAAAGTGCGGGAAGCAAACGCAATCGGTTTTTCAATATCGTTTTTAAAAACATGACAAATAAGCGCACCTATTCCATAACTGGAAGCATCTACTATCAATTTAATCGGTAATTCTGGCTGAAAATGTACCAGAACAAGATCTGACGTCAATGTTTTTTTTACCCAATCAACAGATTCCTGACATTGTGCCGTCCAATGCCATTTAACATTTTTTTTTTAATAAACTATGTAGCGGAGACAAAATCGTTGATAAATTTCTAAAAAATTTTCCATAATAATTCACCAATCCCAGAAATGATTTCAACTGACTTACAGTTTCGGGTACAGGAGCACCTTTAATAGCTTCAATTTTATCATCACATGGATGAATACCCTCCTTATCGATTATGAATCCTAAATACTGTACTGAATTTTGAAAAAATGAACATTTTTCTACTGAGATCTTGAACCCTGACTCTTGTAATATTTGCAACACCTTATTCAACCTAATTAAATGTTCCTGTTTGTTTGATCCCGTAACTAGAATATCATCAATGAAACAAATCGTACCCTCAATGCTTTTCAGCAAAACGTCCATGGTTTTTTGAAAAATTGCTGGGCCTGAAGCAACCCCAAAAGGGAGTCGATTATAGCAAAAAATACCCTTGTGAGTGGATATGCTTACTAATTTTTTTGAATCGGTGTCTAATAGTATTTGCTGATAGGCATTTGAGAGGTCGATTTTTGAAAATTGCACACCACCTGATAATTTTGCAAATAATTCTTCTGCCCTTGGTAGTGGATATTGATTTATCAGAATATGAGGGTTTATGGTGACCTTGAAATCTCCACAGAGTCTGACCTTTCCATTCGGTTTTATGACTGGTACCACTGGTGTTCCCCATTCTGCATAATCTATGGGTGAAATTACATTATCCTTCAATAATCGATTCAGTTCTTCTTCCACTTTCTCCTTCATGGAATAAGGAATTGGTCTAGCCCTGAAAAATTTTGGTGTTATATTATCACTTTTCAACACCAATTTTGCAACATCCTTATTGAAAGTACCTAAACCAGGTTCAAATAATAATTTATACTTTTCAACCAAGGATTTAATATGAAATCCCTCATCGCAAAAATTTATTCCAGACATGGTTATCTCAAAAATACTCAAAAAATCTCTTCCTAATAAAGATGGCCCTCCATTTCCAAAAATGAAAATAGGCAATTTGGAACATTTATCTTTAAATGAAATGTTAACATCAATATAACCCAATGGCGAAATTTTATCTCCTGTATAAACAAATAATTGTTTTTCAGTTTTTTTCATGTTAATTTCAGAAAAATTTTGCTTATAGAAAACTTCGGACATACAAGTCACACTGGCCCCAGTATCAATTTGAAATTTAAAAGGTTTTCCTTCAATAGCAACATCTGCTATGAAAGGATTATTATTAAATTTTGAATCTACAGTAAATAAATAATTTTCTTCTGTACTCTCTTCCACAAAATTATGAGAATTTCTATTCCGATTTAGAGAACTCCTTTGACTGCTGTTATTTTGAAAATTCGAATTTTTTTGAGGACATACTGGTGCCAAATGCCCCTTTTTATGACAAATATGACATATAAAATCTTTATACCGACATTGGACTGACGCATGATTTCTCCTACCACATACGTCA